TTAGTTAATTAGTCCCTGATGCCTGGTTTCCTGGAGTACTTGATCCCTGCTTTATCCTCTTCAACCCTAGATATATAACAATCAGATCTTTTCTTCTATTGTTCCCCCCCCCTTTTCTCTCTTTTTGCATTTCCCCCCCCCCCCTCCCTTCCATTTGTTTGTTTGTTTGTATACAATATATAGGATTCCTGAACAATAGAAACTCTAAAATACTCTGAAAATGTATATATAAGTTTAGTTTAGTATATGGAAAATAAGAATTGAAGAGAATTCTTGAAAAACAGAAATAATTCCATTTCACTTTTAATGTTTAAGATTGAAAATGTTAAAAAAGCACTTTATAGTTAAGTTAAGGCAGTAAATTCGTTATATCGTTATTCACGAAGAAGGCCATTATAGTTCTGTGTGTGATGTATTGAACACACTTCTATGTGTTCAATACAGGACAAAATAAAGTTCTGTGTTTGATGTATTAAACACAATGATATGTGTTCAATGAAGAATAAAAAAGCTCTGTGTTTGATGTATTAAACACAGTGATATGTGTTCAATGCAGGATAAAATAAAGCTCTGTGTTTGATGTATTAAACACAGTGTTATGTGTTTAATGCAGGATAAAATAAAGCTCTGTATTTGATGTATTAAACACAATGATATGAGTTCAATGCAGGATAAATTAAAGTTCTGTGTGTGATGTATTAAACACACTCCTATGTGTCCAATGCAGGATAAAATAAAGCTCTGTATTTGAAGTATTAAACACAATGATATGTGTCCAATACAAGGTTAAAATAAAGTTCTATGTGTGATGTATTAAACACACCCCTATGTGTTTAATGCAGGATAAAATAAAGTTATGTGTGGGATGTATTAAACACACTCCTATGTGTTCAATGCAGGATAAAATAAAGCTCTGTATTTGGTATATTAAACATAATGATATGTGTTCTATGAGGGACATATTAAAGCTCTGTGTTTGATGTATTAAACACAATTTTATGTGTTCTATTAGAGACATATGAAAGCTTTGTGTTTGATGTATTAAACACAATACTATGTGTTCTATGAAAATAAATTAAAGCTCTGTGTTTGATGTGTTAAATTTATGTATTGTGTTCTATGAAGGATAGATTAAAATTTTTTGTTTAATGTATTAAACACAGGTATATGTGTTCTATGAAGGATATATTAAAGCTGTGTTTGATGTATTAAATACAGGTATATGTGTTCAATGAAGGATAGATTTGAGCTCTGTGTTTGATGTATTAAACACAGGTATATGTGTTCTATGAAGGATATATTTGAGCTCTGTGTTTTATGTATTAAACACAGTTTATTTGTTCTATGAAGGATATATTTGAGCTCTGTGTTAGATGTATTAAACACAATGCTATGTGTTCTATGAAGGATAGGATAAAGCTCTGTGTTTGATGTATCTAATCTGAAGAATTAAAGAATCGTGTTCTAAAGATTATACATGAACAGTAAATTATCTGTAGAGAAGGTTGACTACAAATAGGGGATATTGTAGATATATACATAATGCACAAGCATGCATTCATTCAGGGACAAAGGAGATTTTTTTTAGAAAAAAAGGTGAAACTTGAAAAGCAAAAAAAAAAATCTTTCAATGTCCATTTTAAAGTAAGTGATCAAAATTTTTTTATTTATATATTTTTTTAGGAAAATTATTTAAAGGATTTGGCAAGGCCTCTTCGCACAATATAAACCTGTGTAGATTCGGTGAAAGGGACAGAAAAACCCTATTTTTAATTAATTTCTACACATTTTGTCTTTGTTGTTAAAAGAATGGATTTTATTTTTGTAAAGAGTGTTCTATTGTTTGCCTGTAGTTAGAAAAGCATCAAACAAAACTTAAAAGTGCTCTTAATTAATTTAAACTAATTAGAGTAGGCAGAGAGGGGGGGGGCGTACTACATACTTTAAGATTTTTAAAATGCCAAAATAAGACAAAAATTATCTTCAATTAAAAGTTTTCAGGAAAGAAAGTTATTTTTAAAATGGCATTGTAATGAAAATTTGGTTTGTGTATTCTATGACAAATCCCAAACCCAATGTTTCACTTCTTAAATCCCCCCCCCTTTCTCCTCCTCCTTATCTGAAGCAGTGCTTAGTTCATCTTTACTACTGCGCCATCTTCTCAGTGTAATCTTTAAAGTATATAAACCTAGTTATATCTCTCTACACAGTGCAGTACATTATATTATTGTTATTGTTCCCTAGGACAGTTCTAGTGATAATTAAATAAGATATTCTGCATACAAATATATAGAATACAGAACTGGTTTATTATCACTGTAAAATAGGAAAATAGTCCCTTTTAATCTTCATTTTAAAAATGATGGTCTAGTTGTACGTATCCCAAAAAATATTTACTTTTTAAATCTCTTTAATCTGCATGTTAAAGTAGAAAAATCTCTTTAATTTGCGTGTTAAGGTAGAAAAATCTCTTTAATTTGCATGTCAAATTAGAAAAATGTCTTTAATCTGGGGTTTAAAGTTTATAAATCCCCTTAATTTGCGTGTTAAAGTAGAAAATTTCATTAAATTTTCGTGTTGAAAAAAAATAATCTTTTTAATATGATAGAAAGATGTCTTTATTCTGCGTGTTGAAAAAGAAGAATCTCTTTAATCCGCGCAATGAAGTATTAAAAAATCCTGTAATCTGCGTGTTAAGGTAAACACAACTTTAATCTGTGTGTATAAAAGTTCCTTTAATCAACGTGTTAAGGAAAATGCTACCTTTATTTTGCATGTTAAAGTTGTGAACTGTCCCTTTAAATCTGTATAGTTTATGTAGAATCCACGGGAGAGGATAAAGTATGAAAGTATTAGATGATGAAGAGCTTAGAAAACTTTTATAAAGGTGGGAGGGATAGCGGAAGGATAGGGGAGGGATAGGGTCAGAGATAAGGGGAAGGATAGGTGTGAGGGATAAGGGGAGAGATACGGAGGAAGGATAGGTGGGATCGAGGGATAACAGATAGGGGAATGATTCCAAATTTTGACCCTGAGATAATGCAAAAAAAAAAACGAACCAAACCTATCGTTTTATCAACAACCTTTTTTGAGTTCTGTTTTCCTAATATTTTCTTTGAAGATACATTTTTGCCATAATTCATTAAAATTTTACAAATTGCAGTTTCGAAATTATGGAACCTTGACATATTTGTATGGACGTGTGGTGCCTTCTGAAAGTCTAGAAACCTTCAAAGTTCTAGAAAAACGAACAAATTTATACCTTTCACTAAAGCGTAGGGGGTTATGTTCCAAAGGGAATTCCTCTGTGATATCTGATATTTAACTCTTTAGTTTCCAATTCAAGAGCTAAACGTAGGTTAGATAACTAAAAAAAGTAATCCAGGTACCAGATTCAATAAATAGCGAGTTAAGGAGTTGACCGACATAGAATTCGTTTAACCACTTCTCTTCCACTTCAACCGGCGCGGAAGGGAAGTGCTTAAACTACGTCTACGTAGTTCAACTTTTTCTAGCTGTTCATTAATTCTGGTCACAGGATTCTCTGATAATGATATGATGAAGATGGTATATATTAAAGAAGAGGATGAAGATGGTATATATTAAAGATGATGAAGATGGTATGTATTAAAGAAGATGATGAAGATGGTATATATTGAAGATGATGAAGATGGTATATATATTTGTATATATATATATATATATTGACTGTAGAGAATACTGATATCCTACTAGGGAAACTTGGGAAACCAAGGTTAATTGGAAGTTACGCATTTCATTAGTTGACGCAAGTTTGCGCATTTCATTAGAAGATGCTGGGCCGCCTACTCTCATTGTCTCTATATTCATCTATCCATCCTCTCATTCAATAATCTATTCACCTATTCATCCTTTCATTCAATAATCTATTCATCCTTTTAGTTATTGTACATACAATAGCTTTTAAGGAAGTTTCGCGCCCCTTTCCTAAACAATTTTAGCTTTTAACTGTTTTCAAATAGCCATTTTTTTTTCTTGTACTCATGTAAAAAAAATTTACATTTTTTACATGCAAAATTTGTCAAGCTTGGTCGTTTACAAATGTAAGTTTTCTCAAAAATTGGACACAACTGCAGGTTTAACTGTTTTGACGTTTGTTGAACTCAAACAAACAGACAAGCCAATTTTATATACATGGTTACCCTCAAAGAATAAGACTGTAAAGACGACCTAATACTATTAAGACATGGCAATCCCAAGGTTAAATTGAGTTTACTGTATTGAATATTGTCTTTAATGGCTTATTAAATGATTTGTAACAGAAAGTAACAAGTTCTTAATTGTAGTGATTAATAAAACAGACAGTCTAAATTCCTTACAGTAGTCTATGAAATTTCATCCTTTTGAGGAAACCTTGTTATAGATAGATTGTCAACTGCAGCCAGTATCGTAATCTTTTTCTTTTCCGTACATTTGTCATCATCATTTACGAGATATTGAAGAAAACTTAATTAAAACTTTAGAATTCCATGTTGCAATGAAAGTGCGTCGGTATTTATATATATTTTTCTGACATATTATACAAATCAAATCTAAATCAAATCTAAATATTTGCATGGATATATCCTAAGAGAACCTGTTTAATTACCTATTGTATAGAACAGCTGCAGTACGTATACTCTTTATCTTCTTGGGCACCTTGACTTATATCAATCAATCAATCTTATAGTCTGCAGTTCGACCACCACCTGTTCTTTTAAAATATATACACAACCAGGGCAGTTTATTTTTGGGTTCATCAACAAGTAAAATTATAACATGAGGACCGGTAGCGCTTTAACTTTGACAAATCGTAAGGCGACAATTTTTTGTAAATAAGACGTGAAATGTTTAACTTGTTTTGCTCAGTGAAATATGCGTTTAATTTATCAAAATAGTTAGTTGATTGTGTCTTCATGCATTATGTGGACAGACAGAATTTGTGTTGATATTTTTTCCCACACCTACTGAGACTCTTTAATCTAATTTCTTGCATGCAGACATTCTGGACAATCTGGACAATCCGGACAATCCGAACAATCCGGACAACCCGGACAATCCGGACAATCTGGACAATCCGGACAATCTGGACAATCTGGACAATCTGGACAATCCGGACAATCTGGACAATCTGGACAATCCGGAAAATCTGGACAATCTGGACAATCTGGACAATCTAGACAATCTGAACAATCTGGACAATCCGGACCATCTGGACAATCTGGACAATCCGGACAATCTGGACAATCTGGACAATCCGGACAATCTGGACAATCCGGACAATCTGGACAATCTGGACAATCTGAACAATCTGAACAATCTGGACAATCCGGACAATCTGGACAATCTGGACAATCCGGACAATCTGGACAATCTGGACAATCTGGACAATCTAGACAATCTGAACAATCTGGACAATCCGGACAATCTGGACAATCTGGACAATCCGGATAATCCAGACAATCTGGACAATCCGGACAATCTGGACAATTTGGACAATCTGAAGAATCTGGACTATCCGGACAATCTGCAAAATCCGGACAATCTGGACAATCTGAACAATCTGGACAATCCGGACAATCTGGACAATCTGGATAATCTGGACCATCTGGACAATCAGACTTTTTAAGTCTAGCTCAAAATTGTCAAAGCAAATAAAATGAAATAACCCAGTTGTATCTATAGAACCTATAAGGATAAATCGATTGGTCCTTTAAGTAACCTTAAAAATGTTTAAAATCCACAAAAATGTTTCAAGAGTAATTTGCTAGAAATTGATGTACTTTTTCTTTTATTAGCAAAACTAACATTGAACTTGGGGGGTTTAAAAACTATTTGAAATACGATTGTTGGCCTTGTCAATTAAAAGAGAAAGATATATAATTAAAAAGTTCCATGCTGGTTGCAAAAAGCAACATATACAATACAGACCAAACATATTAAATAGGGGTTGGTATAATTTCAAACAGATTATATCTAATAATTGATTAAGTTTCTAATACCAAAAACCAGATTTAGTTGCTCCAGCTGTCGATTATTAAAAGGGATTGATGATTAAGACATTTTTCTAACTATATGTATCTTTTTTGTTCAAACAAAGGCATTAAAAATAATTGAATTAGATAAAAATATACTATGCAAAAAATCTGTTGTTTTTCACTGATATGAAATGTGGAGGTGAGAGCAGGTGTGAAATATATTTTTATCTTTTTATAGGTTTAGGGTTGTTTATTTGTAACGTGCGACGGAGGATCATTATCTTGAAAACAGCTGAACAAAGTTTAAGAACAATATTAATTCTGAACATGCCTTGGGACAAAAACTCGTTCCTACGGAGTCATCGCTCGTCTGACTTTTTTAGGGCAATCTTAATCAAATTTACGGGTTTAGGTTAAAATGGAAAAAGGTTTCAAAGAGTACTTTTTTAAGTCAAATAATGCACGTTTATAAAGGTCATTGTAGTTTTAAACCCCCCCCCCCCCCAACCATATCACCCTTTCAAACCATTTTCAAAGTTGTTCAAATAAATCACCCATCAAATCTATTGAATTGGAACTTAATCATACTATTGGAAATATTATTATATATTCATATCACACACCACAAACACACGGGTCAACAACAGGATGAAAATATAACTAGAGCCGAGGTTTTAAAAATGAATCCTGAATTTCCGGACAGAATAAAGATAGTTAAATAAAGTTAAATAACTAGGGCTATGAAAGATAGTTAGATAACGAGAACTATGAAAGGTAGTTAGACAACAAGGGCTATGAAAGATAGTTATACAACGATGGATATGAAAGAAAGTTAGATAACGAGGGCTATGAAAGGTAGTTAGATAACGAGAACTATGAAGGATAGTTAAACAACGAGGGCTATGAAAGATAGTTATATAACGAGGGCTATGAATTATAGTTAGATAACTAGGGCTATGAAAGATAGTTAGATAAAGAGGGCCATTAAAGATAGTTAGTTAACGAGAGCCATGAAAGATAGTTAGATAAACAGTAAAAAAGGGGCATGAATAGTTAAAAACGTTGTAAAGATGTATACAAAAAAGAGTTAAGAAGCGCATTATAGATAGTTAGATAGACAATAAAGGGGTGCAGAAAAGATATTTAGATAAACTGTGAAACGGTGCATGAATGATAGTTAGGTAGACAGTGAAGGGGTGCATGAAAGATAGTTAGCTAGACAGTGAAGGGGTGCATGAAAGATAGTTATCTAGACAGTGAAAGGGTGCATACAAGATAGTTAGCTAGGCAGTGAAGGGGTGCATGAAAGATAAACATGCTCCAGGATTAACAAACTTGTCGTGTAATGATTCCAAGTAATGTTTAAAGACAAGCTGAAGACAACCTAAACACAAAGAGAAGAGTATACAATAGTTTAACAGAATATACAACGGTATACAACAGTATGCAACAGTGTACAACAGTATGCAACGGTATACAACAGTGTACAACAGTAAACACTGTTTAAAAGTATTGTTCTTAGCGTGACGTTTTACAATTGGGTGTCACACTAAACTAAAGTTTAAATCTTTAAAGTTCACTTGTGCGCTGGTTTAAGCTGAAGAGAAGTGGTTCAACTTAGTCTACACAGTTCAACTATGTTTGCATTCTTTGCATTATATCTTGTTCCTGGGAACACTTTACCGAATGAACTTCCTGTTTTAGAGGTGTTGAAAATTAAATTTGCATATTGGTACAGTGATAACCAGAAAACTCTGAAATAATAAGACGACTTTTAGAATCAAGTTATATCCTTAAAAAGTTCAATGAGCATGAGAAACAGCAATTGTTCAGTGTAAATAGGCCCATTTCACTTAATTAGTAATTTAATAATGTCGTTGGTAATGTAATTGGTATAATGTCGTCTTCCTATTCCATTGTTTTCGGGTTTAAACAATTTTAAATAGAATTGGGTTGATATTAAGGAATGATTTACTTATGATATAGTCCTATGTTTACAGAGGGATAGCCGGGTAAACAGCTCATTATATAATTTACTGTCAGAGACTTATTCTTTAGATATCATATCTAACTCGAGACCAACATTGCAAACTGGGTTTAGAAGATTGGTAGTTTATGTTTAAAAATAACTATTTACTATTACAGTTTTTAATCCTAATTGTTAAAACCCCTGAAAGAACGGATTAACCAACCCCAGTTGCATTCATATATAAACTGTTATACAAGTTTCCAGTTTTGGTTAATATTTAAACTCACTTGTATTCTAGGCCCGTACATATGTAAACTGTTATAAAAGTTTCCAGTTTTGGTTAATATTTAAACTCACTTGTATTCTAGGCCCGTACATATGTAAACTGTTATAAAAGTTTCCAGTTTTGGTTAATATTTAAACTGTCAACATTAAGATTTAAACAATAAAAGACTGACAGTGGATACTCTCTTCATACTGTAAAGGTGTTGGAATCATTGTGCATGTACTGTGTAGACCTATGGCAAGATAACTAGGGTTTGTTTATATTTAACTGTAACGTATTAGGACTGCCCAGAAACTGGTTTTAATGTTTGTAAACAACAATACGTAACCAATGTCCGTACTTCCTATCCTACCCAGGATTGTATTATATACCTAAAAACCTAGCTTTCATAGTTTACTTTATTTATAAAGGAACTGATTTTTTGTGACAAACTCTACTTTTCTAATCTCTATATCTTTGCTACCTAATGCCGTAGACCTTTGATATTTCAAACTATGAATTCTGTTACACCAAATAATCAAAGTTTGAAATATCAAAGGTTTACATCATCAGATTGTAAAGATATAGGGATTAGATAATTTGAGTTTGTGACAAAAACTTAGTTCCTTTGCATAAAAACAAATCTCCCTTGATCCTGTCTTATAATTTGGCAGGCAATATTTTGTCTTTTAACCTTGTTTTTTTATGTAATTAGGTGTCTTGTTACCTTTATAATAATTAGATTATCTTAAATATATATGTGTGTTATTTCCTTTTTAGTTAATTATATCGGATAAATGGAAATGGAAACAAAGAACATGTTCTTCTACATCTTTAAAGTACTAGCTTGGGAACCCAGCGTGGCCCAAGAGTTATTCATAACCGTTTACCCGCCCTTTGTTGTAAATTACGATTTTTGCTATTTTTTCCGTTAAAAGTGGACCCACTCAACTTAGACTCATAAAAACCTAGCTTGGAACATTTCCGTGGGTCTCCAGAGTAACAAAATAAAAAATTGAGGCAGGTCCAGGGGTTCCAGAGTTAGGATAGGACAAAGAAACAAATAGAGCTTACAACTTTATAAATATAGATTAATCTCTGTTTGTCTATTTGTTCGTTCGTTTGTCCGATCATAACTTAAGAATCCTTCAAATACTAGTTGGGGAACTCGGTAGAACCACGGGAGTGTTCTTTGCTCGGTTTGGAAGTTCTAAGTCAAGTGGAATGACTTTACTAGTTTCAGGCAAAACTGGGTTCTCAAGCTATAGTCTTTAACAAAGTAATACAAACCCAACAAGAATAAATTAGTTTCTTTATCGAATTTATGCATATGAGATTTAGTATCCCCCTCCCGTAGAATTCCTAATTCCAGAACCTTCTTAGAAAATTACTTTGGGTGGGTCTTCTTGAACTTGAAATAAATGGGAGGGGGAATCATATAATGGATGGGGGAAATTGGGGAAATTTGATTTGGATCATGTACCTTTGTCATTCTTGCATAAGTCTGGGGAAACATTTAAAGAAATTATTTTAAAACGGTTCAGACATTCCTCTTTGCACATACTTCAACAATAGTATTTTAAATGATTGTTTGGAATGTATCATTTATCTCTCAGAAAAATTAAATCAATTACATACATTACCAAGTTTTGAAATTAGCAAGAATAAATAAAAACTGTTGCTTACCTAAAAAACACCGCTTTTTATAAAGGAATGGAAAATGATGGCTCTTAACATAAAATTGCACACTTTTCATTAATATTTGTTCGTTACGAACACTGAAATTGCAAACCAACCAACAAGATATACAAAAACTATCTATCATAAGATTTGTTTGATTAAACATTAAAACAGTACATTTTTTGCTAACATTTGTTTTGTTACACGAGCACTGAAATTGCACATCTTTTACTAAGGTTTGGCAGGGTATAAAATGTATATTTGGCAAGGCTGGAATAATGGTGATTGGACGTGATTAGAAAATCATGAAGATTCTACGCTTAAATTCTTCTTTCAACGTTTACAATCATATCTCTCTTCTCCCGGTAAATTCAAATTGAGACTACACATATTGGACACACTACACACACTACACACACTGCACACACTGCACACACTGCACAAACTGCACACACTGCACACACTGCACACACTACACAGACTGTACACACTACACATATGCACACACTACACATACTGCACACACTACACATACTACACACACTACACACACTGTACACACTGTACACACTGTACACACTACACACACTACACAAACTGCACACACTGCACACACTGCAAACACTGCACACACTGCACACACTACACACACTGCAAACACTGTGCTGCGTGTGTGCAGTATGCATAGTGTGCGCATTCTAGTTTTCCCTACAGCA